TAAATCTCGGTGTATAATTGTGTTAAACTGATTGATAAATGGCTACAGGATATTCAGTATTTTGTGTGAAGAATGGTGTATAACTGGAATAAGTGTCTCCGATGCGAGAATTAAAAGAAGTAAGAAGATTTTAATTATTTAAAATTATGTTTCATACAGCGCTCATCTTTGAGACGGAGTTTGTCATATAGCCTGCAGCCAGAATCTTGTGTTAAAATGATGTATAACTCGAATTGTCGCCTTTCGTAAAACGTTCTTCTCCGGTACTTGTGTGATTGATAAAAAATTAGAAGTTTTTAATTATTTAAAATTATGTTTCGTCTTGGGGCTCACAGCTAGTATTTTGTTTTAATATTATGTATAGCTCGAAACTTGCCTTTGGTACAATGTTGAACTCCGGGACTGGTGTGACAGTAAGGATTTTTTTAATTATTTAAAATTATGCTTCGTACAGCGCTCAGCTTTTAGAGTGCGCGTGTCTTGTAGCGTGGTTCAGTGCGTGGGTCTCGAGTTCACTCCCGCAATATTTTCCAGCGTCTTTTTTCCCTTGTGAGTGGTGCTTGACGGATGACCTGACACTGGTGGCGGTCTAGTTACTTTAAACGGTAATTTACATCTCTCATCATTTAAAAGTAAGTAAGTAAGTAGGATTATGTTTCAAACTTCACTCGTCTTTAAGAGTGAGATATTCTAACAGACAATAGTTAGAGTTATTCATAAGTCCAACTGTTGCCTTACGGAAGGGACCGCGGTGACTCAGTAGGTAAGACGCTGGCTCGCTAGCCTGGAGGTCTCGGCTTAACCCTTCGCAATTTTCCGGATTGGTTTCCCCTTGTCAGTCGTGCAGGGCGGAGAGCCTGATAAAGGGCAGCTATCAAGTCGTTTGAATGGGACCATAAACCGATATCCCATGTACACATTGGCGTGTACGTAAAAGAACCCTTGACAGTTGGAATTCGATATAAGAGTAGGCCGCTGTCCGGGCAAAATTGTCATCATAGCACACTGTATGGCGTATGTCCGTCTTCATTTGGGCGATCGATGCAGAAAAGTAGGCTCCATTTCATTTCATTTCATTTTGCCTCGCGTAAAATGGTACCCTTCAGCATTATTTAAATATCTTTTTGAACTATGTTTAAAACAGTGTCCGATTATGAGCGTGATTTTTTCTTGTAGTTGCCATCTATTAGAGAAGGTTTGTGCGTGTGATTGGACGCTTTTGGACGCTAAATCACTAAACTGATTAATTTTAAAATACAAGAAAACTAATCGAACATTTTGATTTTTTATATTTTATTTGATATCGTAATTAATGACGAAAGTGATAATTAATGATTTGGTAGGGGGCTAAAAATGAAATTGTCACAATGTATTAACTGATATTGCCGAAATCTCGCTGTTTTGTTTGAAATATATTTGATGACCAGGAATATGTTATTTTACTTAGAAAATCACTGTCATTTTTGACACATGTTTTGGAAGCATGCTGCTCGCCAGCACCTATTATTATTACTTTGACCAGTTTAATATTCTATTCCACATGGATCTTATTTATTAGATGCATTGTTGTAATCATGTGACCTGTCTTACTAACCAGGGGGTCCCGGTTGCGATCCCGGTGTTGGCCGAGACGGCCTCGGTATTTTCCGTCAGAGTTGTCACTTGTCAGTGTTACTCGTAAACGAAGCACTGAGAAATGGAATTCGAGATAATAGTTGGGCGTCGCGGCGCTGTCCGGTCACAATTACCCTCGTAACACGCTATATGTCTCATGTCCCATGTCCCATGTCTCATGTCCCATGTCTCATGTCCCATGTCCCATGTCTCATGTCCCATGTTTTATGTCTCATGCCCCGGCAGAGAAATAAGACATTGACCCTATTTCATTTTGGCGGAGTTTTTTTAACTAAAATTTATACAGATAAAAATATAGGGACAATTCTCAGCATGGTATTAATCGAAGAAAGAAGATGGGGCACATAATTTAGTTAATGTTTTGGGTGTATCAATAGATAAAATGGATATCATTTTCTCGTTATTTTTACATTAGCATTCCATGAAATATAGTCGACGTATGATACATTCTATGAAATATAATCGACATATGATACAGTAATTGTGGTCTTTATGGTTTTCTCATCAGGATGATTTGCAGGAATTTATTTTGTATTATGCATGTTATTATCAGTGAACCCAAAAGGCATTTCTTTTAAGTAAACACGAGCTTGGCAGCTTTTAGCTGATATCCGTACATAACGCAATTCGTAATACGTGGTAAAATAGTAAGCGTATTAAGGTTGGGGTGGCCAAGTGCTCAGAGCTCTAGCTGGACGGTCACCTCTGGCTTGTGGTCGTGGCTTCCATCCCTGGTCTCTAGCTGGACGGTCACCTCTGGCTTGTGGTCGTGGCTTTCATCCCTGGTCTCTAGCTGGACGCTCACCTCTGGCTTGTGGTCGTAGTTTCCATCCCTGGTCTCTAGCTGGACGGTCACCTCTGGCTTGTGGTCGTGGCTTCCATCCCTGGTCTCTAGCTGGACGGTCACCTCTGGCTTGTGGTCGTGGCTTCCATCTCTGGTCTCTAGCTGGACGGTCACCTCTGGCTTGTGGTCGTAGTTTCCATCCCTGGTCTCTAGCTGGCCGGTCACCTCTGGCTTGTGGTCGTGGCTTCCATCTCTGGTCTCTAGCTGGACGGTCACCTCTGGCTTGTGGTCGTGGCTTCCATCCCTTGTCTCTAGCTGGACGGTCACCTCTGGCTTGTGGTCGTAGTTTCCATCCCTGGTGTGAGAGTTTGTGGCTTTGAGATAGAGGCGCCTTCTCAACCTCGTGGGTTTACTCCGGGTATTCCGTTTACCGCCCACATGACAGACCCATGCGCATGCGCTAAACGTAATACAAGAAAATAAGACAACTTGTCTGCGATATCACCTTCGGAGGAAGCGGACTTGAAACACTAAAACTGCACTATACGCAAACAAACCGAAAAGATAAACTACACGGACATTACAAGAAATAAAGAAGCTTATTAAATCAAATGAATGCTATAACAGTTTGTAATCTTTGGCGTAAGTGATATCAGATGTTCTAACATATGGACTTCTATTGATATATATTTGATCCTAACAAAGGGTCGCACGCGATGTCAGTTGAAGGCGGTGTAAGGATGTAGGTATTTTAAAGATTATATTGACTAATAATGTTTATATTTATTCCCTGGGATATTAAAATCGTTCCCAGAGAAATAAATCTGAAAAAAGATATGAATATCATGGAGGCGGTTTATTAATAACCAGAAAAGCACGCGGTATTAAGTTTCTGATAAATGCCTCATTAAACCTTTTAATCCAAGGAAACAGGCGATATCGACTTTCTGATAAATGATAAAACCCCAAACAACACATTGTTTTGAATCTGAGAATCTTGTTTAAATGTATGAGACCGAGATACATCATAGATACCTGCAGGTGTCCATGACTTGGAGGCCTAATGATAAATTCTGTTTGATGTTTCACGAAATACACCATTGGTATGATTGTGTTTTGTCAGCAGCGAGTTTTTCTTATTGTTAGTAAAGAGAAGTTCAACAGAAATAGCAAATGAAATGTAAATGCAATTCAGTTTAATGTATACATTTCTGCACCGATCTGGGCAATGAAAGGCCATAAACTGTGCCGTGTGTTATGAGGAACATTTTGCCTGGGCAGCAGCACATCCGCCTATTCTTCATCGAATTCCAACTGCAATGAGTTCTTTTACGTACACGCCTATATGTACACGGGACCAGGGTTTCTCATCCCATCAGAACGACTAGACGATATTCCTTGTCAGATCGTATGTGCTATTTGTAAGGGGGGGGGGGTGGACGGCCGAATGGTTAGCGTGTGCGCGCTGTATCATAAAGTCTGTCGTTGAGTCAACTGGCGTGGTTTCGATTCCCCGGTTGTACATGACAAGGAGTAGGGTCGCCTGTCCAACCTCGTGGGTTTTCTCCTGGTTCTCCGGTTTCCTCCCACTGCTAAAGACCCATACGAGCAAGCGAATTATTGAAATAAAATTAAACCATATGTTAGTCCCGAAATGACCTAGTTTGTGTGTGAGTTCTTTCTCGCTATTTGAACGTTAGGTCTTGAGATTGTTATATGGATATGTTTATTATAAAACCTGTATTTTTCTGGATGTCTGTGAAATGATCTAAATTCCTCTCTAACAGATGGTTGTATTAGTAACTAAATATACTTATAGATGGCAAGTGTTGGAATAATATACTCATAGATGGCACGTATTGGAATAATATACATTCTTTAAATATCCGTCATGTTTGCGAATACATCTAATTGAAGCCAATCACCGACTATTGCATTTTCTCGGAGATAAGTAATTTTCTGTACCGCTAATTAAATTGCTTAAATGTGGTCGGTTGATAATTTTCTAGCTTCGTTTATATCGAACAACCGAAATATTGTCGTGAAGATTATAGTTGTTAAATGATGTGCTTTTGACCAGTTTCCATTTATATCGTCTAGACAGGATGTTGATGAATTTGGACACATTTTAAATTCGGGATACATATACGAAATGGAATTGAACCATTTTGGACTGATCCATTAAGAGATCAAACTTTCAGAATATTGCCAGTTGCTGGTATCCGTTTGACTCGAAGTTACATTCTGCTAAGTAACCTCAGCTTCTGAAATCCAAGGTCAGACTATAATCTATCTAAAAACACAACACAATTTATATTGAAAACAATCACTGGTTTATACACATATAGCACGACGTTTCGACAAGTATTCTCTTATCGTTACCAATTGTGTTGTGTTTTTAATGTGCTCAGTCACTAAATTCCACTCAAGGATTATATAATCTATCTACTTAGCTGTAAGTATGCCCACAGGCTTGTTCTTTTAGAACACCCGATGTCACTTCTTGTTTATATGGGAGGTTCAGGTGAAAAGGTACGCGTATTTTTTCATATGAAATAATTTTAACTTTCTATATTTTCAGGCACTAAACAAGATGGAGGTGCAGACGTAAATCATCTCCTTGACCTTAACAACTAACTCAACGACCCGACCCACCATCATCATTCACCATGAATTCCAGTGATCCAGACATCGACTTTTATAGAATTCCCGCCCTGGAATCGTTATCTATGTGGTATTCTGGTATCCATGGGTACCTCAGTGTTATTGTGTGCGCGTTTGGAATTCCAATGAATCTGATAAACGTAACAGTTTTGACACAAAAACATATGCGCACACCGATTAACTGTATTCTAACATTTTTATCATTATCGGACATGCTGACGATGATCTCGTACGTTCCGTTCGCTCTCAATTTTTATATACTACATTCACCGTGGGAATTATCTGAGGTAAAGAACAGTTTTGGTTGGATGAAGTTCATGCTTTTTCATATTAATTTTTCTGCGACGACGCACACCGTGTCGATATGGCTGGGTGTGACGTTAGCCATATTCCGTTATAAGCACCTGTACTCCCCGGCCAAAGGTAATTTAACTCGGATAAGACGATTGATTCGCGCACGGATATCAGTATGTCTTGTGTACGTTTTGTCAACCGTCGGTCTAACACCGAACTATATTACAAATAAGTTAAATCCATATACCATCAATAACAAAACAGTTTATGTAATGGAGGACCTGAAATTGGGAACCTCTGAAGTAAGACCGGTCGTATTATTAAACCTTTGGCTGTACAGCATTATGGCAAAACTTTTACCTTGCATTCTTATGGTTATTTATGGTGGCCTTCTTCTTTACACTCTTAAATCAAAACTTAAATTCCAGAAACGAAAACTATCCTGCTCGAGTGTCTTCGCTAGTCGACCAATGGATAATTCCCGAACCACCCGGATGTTGTTGATAGTGATAATTCTATTTTTAGTAACGGAACTACCACAAGGTATATTGATAATTATTAGTGTGACGTCAAAGGGGTTTTTCCAGAATATTTACATGCCATTGGGTGATTTGATGGATATGGTAGCGTTAATTAACAATGGGGTTAATTTCATCTTATATTGCTCGATGAGTAGAGATTTCAGATTGACACTCATGGATCTGTTAAAACTTAAAATGGCCAAACATCGCCATTTCTCTACGACCACCTGTAATGACTCGGAAAGATCGCAAACGGCGTTGATTGTTCGTGTGCTGTGAACTGATGATTGATTTCTGTGAAATTTACCTGGGTGAGAACATAGAATTGTAAATAATAAATAAATGATTATGTTTATAACTGGATGGTATGTGCAGAGTATGTTCATTGTCAATAATTTGTAATTGAAACAGATTTTTGTATGAATTTAATTTTGACGAAAAGACAGGATTTTTGTATGAATTTAATATCGACGAAAAGACAGGATTTTCTTATGAATTTAATTTCGACGAAAAGATCGGATTTTTTTAGAAAAAAGAAACGAATGAAGAAAATTAAATGACAAATTGTGGATGAAAATACTTTATCTGAAATTGTGTTTTATGGATGATAATTTCTACGAGGAAAATACTTTATCTGAAATTGTTTTATCTTAAAATAAAATGTTGATATTAAAAAAGATATAAAATGAATACAAAGATCTGGGAACAATTCGCAACGGTTTTAATAGAGAAATTGGTGGGGGGGGGGGCGGATTCGCGATTTTGAGCATGTGAGGGAGCAGGGTGCGAAAAGGGCATGACTTGGAATCGAGAAGATACGAAGAAATGGAAGGCTTTAGATATCATTTCCAAATCTGGATTCCCCAAATTGAGACTGAGTCGTGGGTGGGGGGGGGTATCTGCGCCTGAAATTATACAACAGATCACATGACGATAAACGATCACCAAAAATAGATAAGTTATGTGACGTCAAAGTTGTGGTGACGTCTTGTGTTTTTGCAGTTTCTGTTGACGCTTAGGTCAATTTACACGATTACAACTACCACATTTTAAAGATATATCACTTGAATGATTTATGGGGTAATGCGAAAACGTGGGACAGGGAACGGAATGCCTCGGAGATCTCATTACTGAATCTGTTTTGAAAAGTTACATAAATACTCTTCAAAAAAAGAAACGCATCGTGACATTTCGTCGTCGGTATACCCTCGCTCTACCATCTCCTCGTTGCAACAGCACAGGAACCGCTACTCGTCGCTGAATCAAGCTGTTCTCCAGCGTTGCTGTAACCATGCCCTGTGTGTCTCAACCCACTGAAGTAGGATTTGACAACAGCTCTAAGGGGACGCCTGGCTCGTAATCCGGTTCCACGTAGGCGTTTATGGACTGTTTGGTCTGAGATCCTACGCCGTCCAGGAATTGCTGCTGCAGTAGAGGTTCCTGTCGTGAACCGTTTCCTCTAATGACGTAACCGAATGGACGATCCGGGGCAGGTGGGGTCACTCTTGTTTGGTCTGAATTTGGGTATGTTTGAACTTCGCTGTCGGTACCTATCCCAAAGGAAAGAAATGGTACTCTGGGAAACATTCAGCAGCCTGGCTACATCTGCCTGGGATTCACCTGCTTGTAACCAACCGATAGCGTTGTTGCGTTGGTCTTCGTTCAGATGTGGCATCACTTAGCTCGTTGAGTGCTTACTGATTTTAAAACCGGGATTTTATCGGCCTTAGATTTGGGTTTAATATATCTAAAAACTCACACTACTAACAGACTTTGGTATCCGCGTCTCTCATCAAAATGGAACCGATATCTAGCTGTAACCGCCGGATGGCATAACTCACTTGTCATGTGTGTCTACTCATAATGTCCATATTTAATTTTATTACCCGGAAGACTTATGGTGTCTGTAAAACAACAAAATATTATCTCCCTATAGACACAAATTCTATGAACAATGTATAAAACCCAGATATTTCCTCAATAAGTCCATTCCATTCCATATTCTGTTGCTGGTCCAGGAAAAATACACATTATCATCTTCATAGGCTTTTAAATAAATATATGACAACGTTTATTGTTTATTAAATGTTCTGGAAGGTATTTAACGTCATATTATTTTGTATCATCTATTAGATAAGCATCTTTAGCCCAGCTATAAAACCTTTAAGTGTGGTAAATATCATAGAAATAGTCCCTCCGTGTAGTTTGATGAATGTGTTTATTCATTCATTGAATGCAAATTTTTATAATCCCGAAGGAGTAGGCAGTTTCGAAATAATTCAGCAACAATTTCTCAACGGTTTATTTCGCGTCTGTTACATCTACATAACTCTGCTAAAGTTATTTTGTTTATTTTATAAGAAAGAACAATTGCCCTTCTAACAAAAAAACAAAACATGTTTTGACTTAGAGGGCGTGGCTCTAGGCGCTCTCAAGAGAGCAATATAACCATCGATAAGATAAAGATAACATGTCTTGCATAACAAACGCCTAGGGGGAGCAGCATACCATTATAAAAATCACATTTACTACCAAACACATAGCAGACAGTTATACAAATCACATTAGTATCACAAACATAGCAGACAGTTTACAAAATAAAAACTCAAATAAAGTCATGAACCCGCTTCTAAAAATTGGACTTATAAATGCGAGATCAGCTAAAGCTCCTTCCCATCTTGTTGATAAACCACAATCAATCTATGACCTAATCTGTGATGAAGACTGATGACAGAGATCAGATCGCTATCGATAGGGTCACTCCATCTGGATATAAACTTGTTCACAGCCCAAGGTTAGGCAGAAATGCCGGCGGATGTGCAGTTGTTTTTAAACAGACATTGATTGTTCGGTAATTTAAATCCAACCTCTTTTGATATACTTTCCCTAAAGCTTGTGGTCAATCGTCAGCTCATTCAACTACATGTGGTTAATCGTCAGCTCATTCAACCCTTGTGGTTAATCGTCAGCTCATTCAACTAAATGTGGTATACAGAGCATCAAATTTAAGCTTTGAAACGTTTTTTTCGGAATTTAGTGATTTAACAGATTCTCTAGACAATGACACTGAAAAACTGGTTGTCTGTGATGATTTTAATGTTCACATTGATGTGAAAACATACAGGAATACATCTAGATTTCTGTCTTTTCTTGAAAACCTAGGTTTAATACAACATGTTCATTATCAACCCCATAAGAACTGTCATATTCTTGATGTTGTTATATCAAGATCAAATTAAATTAACCTATGTCATTCAGTTTTGTTGAATCATACTGCTATCTTATTCACAACTAATATCAGTAAACCACATAGACCGGTTAGGGAAATTCAATGTCGGGAGTGGAAGGTCATAGATATTGCTTCATTTACAAAAGATATGAAAACCTCAATAGATAATATTGATAGTAGTCTACCAGTATCTGAAACTGTTGATCTGTATAACAATGCTCTACGGTTGGTTGTGGACAAGCATGCTCCAGTTAAAGTTCGGAGAGTTAGTGTCCATGATCATACAGCTTGGTACACTGATGAAATAAGCTCAGCAAAGCAGCATCGCCGCAAGCTTGAAAGGCAGATGAGAAGGACTAATCTTACTGTACATCGTCAGATGCATGCAGAAGAAAGAAATCAATTGTGAATCAATTAACTGAAACAGACTATTTATGATCTAAATTAAGATCAGGGGGGAGGTTTTTAATATTGGAAACACACTTCTTTTTCTTAAGATGCAGACATCCCTTCCAGCTAGCTAATTAATTTATAAAATTCTTTTCTGACAAGATTCTGATAATACGAGATGGCCCCAAGTCAAGCTCGATCAACCTTTCTGTATGTCACCTTTGTCAGCCATCAATACATCATGTTCAGAATCCTACAAATATACAAATGAAGAAGAAGTTACAACAGTGCTCCTGAAGAGCCCAGAAAAGTCTTGCAGTCTTGCAGTCCTGACCCCTATCCCACGCGGCCCTTACTGGAATGCGTAAGTAGTGTTGTGCCACTTATCAAATATTTTGTGAACAATTCACTGTCCCAATGTGATATGCCAGCACGTTTAAAGGAGGCACTGATCACACCCCTATTGAAAAAGGCATCACTAGATCCAGACGTTTACAAGAACTCTCGCCCAGTATCAACTCTACCCTATGTTTCCAAGGTCATTGAAAGAGTTGTCGCATCAAGATTACGAGATCATATGCGGCAGAATGGACTTGGAGAGGTGATGCAATCTGCCTACAATCTGCATTATTATATGTCCAGAATGACATTTTCCAGAATCTTGATTCTAACGGGCAGCCATATTGGTTTAATTAGACTGATCAGCTACCTTTAGTACGATGATCCAGCACGACTTCCTGTTCCAAACTCTAGAAAGGCGGATAGGAATAATCTTATGGATGAAATCATATCCCCCTGGTCTTTTCCAATGGCGTTGGGTCATAAAAGTCGGAATTGAGTTTGGTTTGGGAGTTCCACAAGGATCCGTCTTAGGTTCCATACTGTTTACTATATACACTCTACCTGTAGGAGGCATACCTAGATCACGTGGTGTTTCTTTCCATCTCTACACAGACGATAACCAGCGGGATTCCGTCCACTGAACGAAAACAACCAAAATGTTTTCAATTCACTTTCAAGATGTATTGAAGATATTAAGTGCTGGATGACCAGTCATCTCTTGGAACTCAATGAAGACAAGACCGAATTCTGAAAATATGTCCAAAGTGAACATGTGCAAAATTAGGACAGTTTCAACTAACTGTATGTGACTCAACAATCAATCCCATTCCCAACACAAGCGCATGAAATCTTGACGTATTTGACTCACAATTTAATTTAGAAACAAATCTTAGTAATATTTGCAGAACTGCTTACCTTCAAATACGGAATATCCGCCAAATTAGGAAATATATCGATTCGGACTCCACGAAACGTTTGATTAAGGCATTCGTTATATCTAAATAGGACTACTGTAATAGTCTCCTTTACGGTGTAAATCTCCAACGGCTTGATTACCTGCAGTGTGTAAAGAAGAACACTGCCGCCAGACTTAATCACTCGCACAAATATCCGTGAATATATTGCTCCCATTCTTAAGAATAAATTTCAAGTTATTAACTTTTGTTTTCAAAGCAATCCACAATCCCGGCCCAGTTTACCTTCAAGCTCTGTTCTTCTTTTATCAACCATCGCGTACTTTAAGATCAGCCGATCAACTACAGTTGGCAGTGTCATCCAAATCAAGAACCAAGTAGGGAGGTTGTGCTTTTCTGAGATGTGGTGTAGTTTTATGGAACAGACTACCCAAAAGATCCGAAACATTGAACACTTTTAAGTGACAGTTAAAGACATTAATTTTCAAGCAAATATATGACTAGCGTTCTTAAGCAGTGTACTGGAAAGAAATGCGCTCTCCAAATTCATAATTTATTATAACTTTCTATTACATGAATCACATTAGTACCAACAACATAGCAGATAATTACACAAATCACATGACAAGCATAGCATGCAATTACATAAATCGCATTAGTACCACAGACATACAATTCCATGAATCATATTAGTACCAAAAACATAGCATACTATTACATAAATCATACGACAAGCATAA